AGCATGATCACCAACGTGGAGTCCCAGCTGTCTGAGATCCGCTGTGACCTGGAGCGTCAGAACCAGGAGTACCAGGTGCTGCTGGATGTCAAGGCACACCTGGAGGGTGAGATCAACACATACCGGAGCCTGTTGGAGAGTGAGGACAGCAAGTGAGTATGATACTAAGGATATCTGGGAAAACATGTCAGGTGGGACTACAAGACATTATGGGTACTCGCATGCTGGCTATATTTTCGTCTCACCAAACAATATGCATTGATGAACTATCTACTGTGTATACAGTGATCTGTGAAATTTATGGAAATGTGACAGGCATAAAGATGAAGGGAACGTAGTCCCTGCCTCAGAGAGCTAACAAGGTACAGAGATTGCTCCTCAGAACCATAGGACAGAAAAATTTGTTTTAAGTTCTATGTGAGCTCAAGAGGATGGGAGAGTATTTTTCAAGGAACTATGTAAGAAACCCCTTCCACCTTTGCACAAGGCAATCTTGGAGAGAAAGAAGGATTTATATCAAGTAAGCATGATGTCAACTAACTGCAACCATGATCAATTTGTTGACTGTCTCATTGAACTCAAGGTGTTGTGTGTGCCTTAGGGTCTGTCCACTCCCATCCACAACCCAATCTAAACTTTTGTGTCTCCCCAGGCTTCCCTCCAACCCTTGTTCCACCTCTAATGCTCGTGGCAACTCCTCTGGACCCTGTGGCAGCTCTCAGTCACGTCGCTGTTAACTTAGAAGCTTGAATCCTCTTTGGAGATGTCCATGAAGCCATTTAGACCAAGCATAGGAAAGATCCTTGGAACTTGCCTTTTCCGGAGCCCCATATACATTTAGAAATCTGTGTCATGCCAGCCTTCCAAGCACTCACATATCACCGATTTATAATGCCTGGAAAGCTCTTTTGTACTAAGGGTTAAGTCTTTTCATTTCTGCAGATAGTTCGCAATAACTTCATCTCTAGGTATTACCCATTACTTTAGGGTGTTTCCCATAGGTATTGTGCTTCTGGCTTTCCTTGTTTCTTTGGTATTGTCTGGAATGCAAGGGGGGCTCCTTCATTTACTTCCCAATAAACTTTATTTCCCTGGCATAATAAATCTGTTTCTTATTCATATTTGTGTATTGTAAACAAGTCATCATAGGTGCTTCATAAAATACCCATTCATTAGAGGAATAAAATGGCTTGTGGGACTGGCCTCAGCCATTATGTTCCCTAGTAAATATTGATGAAGATGAAATGACACATTCCTATGAGGCTCACACCAAAGAGAGACCATACAGAAAGCTGGCCTTCAACACCCGCACTGTTTTGACATGGCTGCAAGGCCTTTGGCAACCCTTAGAATCCTTGAAACACCTCACTGCCATCTCCCACTGTCATCCCTATTAAACTGGAATTCCCAGCTCCCATGTCCTAAATTTTCTGAAGATCAGATTTCACCTCTGCTTCTCTGGAGAAATTTCTGAAAGAGTAGCAATGATCTTCTTTCAATCTCTCCACATTGTGCGTGCCACACCAATATAGGTACCTGCTTCCCCCTCAAATACACCTTTGTTGATTGTTAGAACCCCCACAGAGTCCTGCTGTGGCGCGGTACATTAACTCGCTGGACTACAAGATGGGTTTGAACCACAAGGTCTGTGGTTCAAGCTCACCAGCTGCTCCTCAGAAACCTTATGCAGGTTCCCTGTGAGTCAGAACCAACTGGAAGGCACTTAACAACAAAGCTCCACACACTCTGGGTCTTCTTGATACAGGTCCTGACTACCCTCTCTCTAGAACACCCCACTTCTGTCTGATCTAAGTAGGGGAGCTTCTTAGATCCTTAGACTTTGATTTACTCTTTCTACATTCCCATTCATAAAGAACTAGTACTTTCATGCTGATAACTCCCAAGTCCTAACCTCAGGTATCAGGTTTATGGTTCCCCATAGGGCAGCTGGTATTGGACTAAATTTTTATTGGACCAAAATTTGTCTTTGCCAAACTGATTCATCATGTTATCTTTGTCCTGTCAAAAGATATTTTCTTTCTTACTTTTTTTGTTGTTTAATAAACATTTCTTCCTTTAGATGGACAACTTTTACACACAATCAGATCATAGCTTTTTGAAATAGAATTTAGTAACAAAGATATTTTATTTATTGAGTCTGCTATAAATGTTTTCTAGAAATTATAACTGATCCATGAGATCTTAAATATGGGGATATTGGTTCTTGGAAACTTACCATCAGATTATAAAATCAAGCTTTTATCAGCCAACTCAGAATATAAGAACTGAGACAATTATTTTCACTTGCTATTTTCAAACATTATCACACTTTCAATTTCATAATTTGACAGTGCATTCATGAAACAATCTGCAGACAACTACTGGTTTAATAGACAAAGACCAATTTTAAGTAGATGTTGACTCTCCTCAACTGTTGATTAGGCTTGAGTTTTACAAACATTACTTATACTAAGGGTAACAGTTGAGTTGGCGAGTGTTGTGTCTTCTCCAATCAGCCGGGCCAGAACCATCAACAGTGTGGTGGAGCTTGTGGCCCTTCCCCAGGCCACGGCTCTTGCGGCCTGCAGATATCAAACCACACATCTCCCTGTGCTTGTGGACTGGCTTAGCGATTCATTGGGTGTCAGGATGACTTCTGATAGCTTTATGAAAGGGAACAATGAGGACAACTTCAGAAAATTTATATGTAGAATCTTACCAACACAGTAAGAATTGAGGACTCTAAGGGCCCAACATTGGCATCCAGCTCGCGACTCAGCCACAGACTGAAGGCTTCTAGTAAACTTCAGCTGGTAAACACCATGATGGACAGCCTTGCCATAGGTTGCACCTTTAGGCACTGAGCGTTTGCAGCCACCTCTGTGCACGTGAACCCGCAGATGACATAACATTGCTTGGCCTTGTATCCCAGTCTATGTGCCTTATTGTCTGGGAGGGATGGTGTGGCCCTGTGCATTGCAGGGAGCTGGTGTTACTGCCAACAGCAGACCTGCAGGAGAAATCGCATCATACCAAACAGTTTCTTCCTCCATAGTTCTTGGATGTACTTGTAAGCACCCACCTCAGCTTACCCTGAGGGCTGCCGCCAGATGGAAAAGAGCCCAAAAGACTTTGAAATCCCACTGATGTCTTTCCTTATGTCCCCACATCTTAAAGTTTATTCTTTTTCTCTAGGTCTACAATGTTTTTCCATAACCTTGTCAGCATTTCATTTCCTGGAATACCAAGAAAGACGATGCTCATTATCCCCGCCAACAAACAGTAAGAGCATCCTCCCCCTACTTGTCTCATCTCTGAATTCTGTGCTGGTCTGGGAGGAGGCTGGTCCAGGCCTGAACTTTTCCTGGTAAGAGACTGAGAAATCAGAAGGTATGTTTAGGGTTCCTAACAGAGAATATATCTGGTAACAAAAGACAAAATTACAAGGTAGGTAGGTAGAACTATACTTGGCAGTGTTTTGAAGGTTTTTTTTTTTTTGTGTGTGTGTGTGTGTGTGTATGTGTGTGTGAGATTGTATATAACAAGGTTGCTATATGATATCCCTGACAGCTATATATATAGGATAGGAAGTGATGGATTATAGAAGTTGGTAGGACTGGGTGAGAAAGAAAGTATATGGATTAGGAGTCTTGTAAGAGAAGATAAAATGGAGGTGGGTGGGAATGGAAGAGTGAATAGGGCAGTGGTGGATTTTAGAGACACACTGGGGTGTAGAAGAAGACTAGAGACAGAGGACCATTGCAGGAGAAGGAAAGGACCTTTTGTTGTTGTTGTTAGGTGACATTGAATTGGTTCTGACTCATAGTGACCTTATGCACAGCAGAACATAATACTCCCCAGTCCTGCATCATCCTCAAAACTGCTGTGACCACTGTGTTCTCATATGGCTGCTGCCACTGTGTCAATCCATCTGGTTGGGATCTTCCTTTTTTTTTCTAACCCTCTAATTTACTAAGATGACGTATTGCATTGGGCAAATCTGCTGCACAGGAACTTTTTAAAGTATTGAAGAGCAGAGATGTCAGCTTGAGGACTAAGGTGTGCCTGACCCAAGCCATGGTATTTTCAATAACCTCGTATGGATGCGAAAGCTGGACAGTGAATAAAGAAGATCGTAGAAGAATTGATGCCTTTGAGTTGTGGTGTTGGAGGAGAATACTGAAAGTGCCATGGACTGCCAAAAGAACCAATAGATCTGTTTTGGAAGAAGTGCAACCAGAGTGCTCCTTGGAGGTCAAGATGGCTAGGCTTCGTCTCTCATACTTTGGACACGTTGTCCGGAGAGAACAGTCGCTGGAGAAGGATGTCATGCTGGGTAAGATGGAGGGTCAGAGAAAAAGAGGAAGACCCCTGAGATGGATGAGCCAGGTGGCATCATTGATGGCGTCAAGTGTGGCAGTGGTAGTGAGGTTGGCCCAGGATCGGATGTTGTTTTGTTCTGCTGTGCATGGGGTCGCTATGAGTCGGTTCCGACTCGATGGCACCTGACAACAACAACAATTTACTAAGAAGATGTCCTTCTCCAGGGACTGGTCCCTCCTGATAACATGTCCAAATTATGAGAGACAAAGTCTTGCCATCCTGACTTCAAAGATGTATTCAAGCAATATTTCTTCCAACACAGATTTGTTTGTTTGTCTGGCAGTGCATGGTACTTTTAATACTCTTCTCCAACACCATAATTCAAATGTGTCGATTCTACTAAGCTAATCATTGTCCAACTTTCACATGCCTGTGAGGAAACTGAAAACACCTTGATGTGGGTCAGGTGCACCTTAGTCATCAAACTGATACTTTTGCTCTTAAACACTTTATCTTTTTCATTTTTTAAATACTTTATCTTTTGAAGCCGATTTGTCTAATGCAATATGTAGTTTGATTTCTTGATTGGAGCTTTTGTCAGTGTTGATCTTAGATGCAAACAAACTGAAATCTTTGAGAACTTCAAAGATTTAGTGTCCCTATTTAACATGATGGTATTTATTTTGCAGTTGTGAAGAGTTTTGTTTTATTAAAATTGAGGTGTAATCCATACTGAAGGTTTAGTCTTTGATTATCAATGATAAGTGTCTCACGTCATCATTGCATTCAGTAAACAAGTTTGTATCAACTGCATATTGCAGACTGATAATAAATAAGTCTTCCTCCAATCCTGATGCCACATTCTTCTTTATATAATCCAATGTATCAAATTCTTTGGTCAGCATTCAGGTTGAATAAAGATGGCAAAGGCTACAAACCTGATGTCTTCCTTTCCTGAGTTCAACCTATTCAGTATCACCTTGATGTGTTTTAATAACAGCTTTTTGATCTATGTACAGATTCCTCATGAGCACAATGAAAGGTTCTGGAATGCCCATTCTTTACAATGTTGTTATACATAGTTTGTCATGATCCACACAGTTGAAAGCCTTTGCATAATCAATAAAGCACAAGTAGACTTCTTTCTAATATTCTCTGTTTTCAGTCAATATCCATCTAATGTCAGCAATAATCTCCCTAGTTCCATGTTCTCTTCTGAATCCTGCTTGAGTTTCTGACAGTTATCCATTTATGCACTGTTGCAACTGACTGATCGGTTTTTCAGTAATATTTTACTTCCCTATGATATTAATGACATCGTTCTTTGATTTCCACATGCCATTGAATTACATTCTTTGGAATGGGCACAAGTATGGATCGTTTTCAATCGGTTGGCCACGTAACTGTCTTCCTA